GGCAAGAGCCTCAAAAACATTAGTTTCCAAGCTAAATGATTGGTGTTTGTCTCATAAAACCTAATTAAAGGTGCAATTATTTAAATTGCTATTGCCATCAGTTGTACTATAGCTGCAGAAATAATGGGATTAGGGAAGCAGTGTTGGGGTACAGTGCCATCTCCTACAATGCTGGCATCCCAACTGAGTACCTGTTCAAGTCCTGACTTCTCCACTTCCAGATTAACTCCCTGCTAATGTGCCTGGGAGGACAGCAGAAGGTAGTCCAAGTACTTGAGCCCCTGCTATTCATGTAGGAGTTCTAGATGGAGTTCCAAGCCTCTGGCTTCAGCCTGGACCAGCTCTGACCATTGTGGCCATTTGGGAAAGTGAACCAGTGGATGCAGGATCTCTCTCTGTCTCTTTCTTTCCCTATCTTTCTCTGTAACTCTGCATTCTAAATAAATAAGTAGATGTTTTTTTAAAAAGAAATAATAGGATATAAAATAACATATTACATGTCTGCCTAATACTCCTATGAGTTGCCATAGGATTTTTCAGTTGTCTCTCACTTAAGTTGTTTCCAGTTTTTTGCTATTAATGTTCCCAGTGCATGTCTCCAGACACATATTTCTCTGTACAGAGCATCTTTGTTCTTTTTAGTTACTTTGATACAGTAAGTTCCCAGAAACACAGTTTATAAGCCAAACCATGCAAACCATTTTTCCTTTGGTTTTGTTTGTGGTTGTTAAATAACTGATTATTTTCAGTTTGTTTGTTAGTTGCCTTGGTGCTTGAATTCTGTGGTTGTATTTATTATTTATAAAAACATGAATGATTCTTTTTGCTGGCTGTTAGGTTTTTGGTATATGTGAATCAGATTCTTCTAAAATAAAGAACTATGATAGAGCAGCAGGTGTGGCGGAAGTCCCCATAAATATAGTAGGGACATGTTTTATAGGTTTCCGTGGGGATTCTGGAACTGTGAAGTGGGACGATCTGCTCTGCAGGAGCTTAGGGTATAATATTCCCCTCACTAAGCAGTTAAGAAAATGAAGCAGCATACAGAACACCACCAGAAGTTAGAGCAATTTAAGAAATAGCTAAAACTATGAAATATTGAAGAAGCAGCAAATTAAAACCAAGAGTTTAAGACAAATGCTTAAAGTTGAAGCCCACATATGCTGTCATTATCTCACATCTTGCTTCTTTACAGAGAAATTTATAGTTCTGTTTTCTTTCCTACATGTTGTAGAAATTCCTGGACAGTAAACTCATTCCCAGCCTTAGAAATACTATGTTTTTAATAAATCACTTGTTGCTCTTAATGTTGTAATTGTCATGTCATGGGGTTTTTAAGAATATATTTACATTTACAGAATATAAAGTAGAATTGCCAACTGCAATTTAAATGTCATTACATAAGCAAGTCAAACAAAAATCTAATCTCATTCATTAAAGCAAATGACAAAGCTGCTAAATGATTATTTGAGTTATACGTGATTAGGTTTCATTGAAGCACTGGTGGTTAAAATTTCACCTGAGAAACTTAGATTGTTTTTTAAAGATTTATTTACTCATTTGTTTAAAACTCAAAATTAGAGAGGAGAAGAGAGAGAGAGAAAGTCGGACAGATCTTCCCATCCACTGAGTCCCTTCCCTGACAACCCCAGCAGCCAGCGTCGATCCCTGCTGAAGCTGGAAACTTCATCTGGGTGTGTCCTGTGGATGGCTGTGGCCCAAACGTTTGTGTGACTTCCCTCTGCTTTCCCCAGCCATTAGCAGGCAGTGGAGCAGCGAGGATATGAACTGGTACCCATGCAGGATGCTAGCATCACAGGCGGGGTTTATCCACCATGCACCACAATGCCAGCACCTGAAACTAATTTTTACATTGTCATTTATTTTTTTGGGAGTCTTCAGGATATCTGTTTTCATCATTTTTAAAAGGAAATAGTATCTTACCTTCCATTGGTATATTTATAGCCCAGTCACTGGAATATACCCTCTCATTTCTGATTGCATATGTGTGGTTTAAAATATGATTAGGTTTATCATCATTCCACCCAAAGCACTCATCCTCTTACTGTTATCCTCTTTTACCTATATAGTCAGTGTGAAGACAATGGAACATCCTGAGTCTTCTTGTTCTCCTCCTCCAGTAGCTTCCCCAGGCCACAGCTACAGCTTTTTCAGAGTCTCCCCCTCCCCGTTTCTGCCTCCCATCACTCCAGTTTGGGCCTGGGTCTCGTTATATCTGACCTCTGCAACAGTGTGAGCGATCTCCCTCTCTGCAGTCCCAGTCCCCACCCAGTGTTGCATCCTGTACAGTACTTGATGCCTCAGCCCCCCAGAGAAGACCCTCAGGAATCTCCCCCTCACGTAGATGCCAGCTTTTCTCTGAAGTTACAGAGAGGACCAATCCAACTCCTTTTGTTGTTTTGTTTTTTTATCGTTCTCTGTTACTGGTATCCGTATTGCCAGCTTTCTTAATGACATTAACTATTGTCCCATCACCTTTCCCCTAGCTGAAGCCCAAGCCCACGTTTGTCTTAACACGTTTCTGTTGGTTCCACTCTGACTGAGCACATGTTAACCATATAAACTTCATTGTGATGTCCTTGCTGCCACAACTAGGAGAATATAAGTCCCTGATGGAGGCCAGAAGATAATTCTAAATCTTTCAGCATTCCTCATTGCTTTAGGAGACAATACCAGACTAAAAGGTTGAAAAGGTGGACTTTGAAGTAACTCAAACATGGGTTTGAATTCTGGTTTTTCCATGTCCTGGTTTATATGACCCTGAGCAAGTTACTTAATTCTATCTTCTCACATGCAAAATATGCAAAATCATCTCATGGGGCTTATGAAAGGATTAAATAAGGCATGCTTATTAGTGCGGTGCCTAATACAGAATAAATAATAAATGGTGGTAATTGTAGTGTTATTATAGTAATTATGATCATGTTAACAGCTCACTCAGTGTTTGTCAGTCACCAGGTGATTTTTTATAATTTACTCTTTCTCATCAGTCAGATAACGATAGGTATATTGTGACACAACTGTAGGGTTTTCATTATACCTATCAATAGGTTGAGGAACTTGATTGCGGAGGTATCTGATTTTTTGTTTAGAAAAATGATTTGTTTCAAGAACTTATTCATTTATAATCTTACCTAATAAACAAAGAACAAGATCAAAGCAAAATCACATGATTTTTTTGTGCAAACAGATACTGCTTTTATTCCAAGAAGACATTTCTTTGAAATGGAAAATAGTATCTTCTCCAATAGGAAGAATAACTTCTGAACCTAAAAATATTTATAATATGTGCTAGATCTTCAAAAAATGGCTCTCTTTTTAAGATTTATTTATTTTTATTGCAAAGTCAGATATACAGAGAGAAGAGACAGAGAGGAAGATCTTCCATCTGCTGATTCACTCCCCAAATGAGCGCAACGACTGGAGCTGAGCCTATCTGAATCCAGGAGCCAGGTGCTTTCTCTGGGTCTCCCATATGGGTGCAGGGTGCCAAAACTTTGGGTTATCCTCGACTGCTTTCCCAGGCCACAAGCAGGAAATTGAGTGAGAAGCTGGGCTTCCAGGATTAGAAACAGTGGCCATGTGGGATCCTAGCATGGTCAAGGCAAGGACCTTAGCCATCAGGCTACCCTGCCAGGCCCCAAAAGATGGTTCTTTCATATGCTGTATGCTAATTACTCTGTTATTTGAATGTAAGTAGGTCAATTGTTAGAAAGTAAGATAGCTAATAAAAAAAATGAGTATAAAGTCATTTAAAATTTCAGGGTAAGAACAATGTACTTTAAAGCATCTCTTTGGCAGCCAAATATTATTATAAAATTATATCCCTTTGTTTCTCCCCTGACCTCAGAAACGGAAAAAAATGACATTAGTGTGGAAACAATGGTATTACCCACTTTCCTGTAGCCCTTGACCCTTTGTATCCTAATCAACCAAGTAAGATCATTTTAAAAAAATAAATTATTTTTTTAAAAGTATATTATGAAGCAGCATTAAGGAATAATGCAAGGCTCCGGCCTGGCACTATAGCGTAGTGGTTAAGGTCCTAGCCTTACACGTGCCGAGATCCCATATGGGCCCCGATGCTAAGCCCGGCAGCTCCACTTCCAATCCAGCTCCCTGCTTGTGGCCTGGGAAAGCAGTCAAGGACGACCCAAAGCCTTGGGACCCTGCACCCACATAGGAGACCTGGAAGAGCTCCTGGCTCCTGGTTTTAGATTGGCTCAGCTCCAGCCCGTTGCAGCCACTTGTGGAGTAAAACATCAGATGGACGATCTTCCTCTCTGTCTTTCCTCCTCTCTGTATATCCGCCTTTCCAATAAAAACAAATAAATCTTTTTTTTTAAAAAAAAAAGAAAGAATGCAAGGGGCAGGTATCTAGTCTATTGGGTAAGACACTGGCATCCTTGGCATCTCAGTGCTAGAATTCAATAGTCAGCTGCAGCTCCTGACCCCAGAATCCTGCTAATGTAGCTCCTGGGAGTTAGTGGTGATGACTCAAATAGCTGGGCTCCTGCCACTCATGTGAGAGACTTGGATTGAGTACCTGACTTTACCTGGCCAGTCCAAGCAAGTGTAGGCATTTGGGGTTCTGAGGAGAAGGCGAGGATTTGAACCAGTAAATGAAATGTGCTCTCTCTCTCTCTTCTGTGGTCTTTCTTACACACATATGTAAAACATAAAGCAAGAATGCCCTGTTCCTTCAGCAGTCTACTTCCAAAGGTGGCTTCAGGGCTTACCACACAAGCTGGAATTCTGTCAACAGAAAATCTGTAGGAGGTCCAGCACCATCAGCAGAAACATCTGACAGCATGTATTCATTTGTCACAGAATTACTTTTTGTTGTTTCTGTTTGGCTAATCTAGAATAAAGGATACAATCCTTATCACCTTTTTTATTGCCTTGTTTAATTTTAAACAGCATCTTTTTTTCTCTCTTTCTCTCTTCTTCTTCTTCTTTTTTTTTTTTTTTTTCATTAGGGATCACATGCAGTGGTCTAAAGAAGAAGAAGCAATAGCCAGAAAAAGAGTAGAGGAAAACTCAGCAGTGCGAGTCCTGCTGGACGAACAAGGTAGCCCTGGTCCCGGCTTTTCTGGTTAGACTTTGGTTCATTCCACACGCTGTTCACTTTTCCTCATCCTTGGGTCAGTATATATTCAGTTCTAGCTGCTGCTTTTCCAATGCACTTCTTCCATTTGCTAGATTTCTCATTCCTTCCAGAGTCCTGGGCCCAAAGCTAATGAAATACATGATATACTCATCCCATTGCTGGTATTTTGGTAATCACACTATTGGTTTTTCTCAGAACTCTGAGATATTTCAAAAAAGTTCATGAAAAATTGAATTTAAAGATAACGTTTAAATTCCATGCATTTTAAGAAAAATATTCCTTTCCTATGCACTTTTTGAGGACCCTTTAGTACACATAGGAATTCTAGTTCAAACTAGACATGAAAGTAACTTTAAATTTTTCTTCTTTGCTATAATGCTTTTAGTTTGCTATTACGCCTTTTCTTTTTGGCTTGCTAGGAACTTTGAAGAAGGTAAAGTTGTATCAAAATGTTATTCACCTGTTAGACTGAACAATTTCATGGATTGAAAACTTTCTGCCCTAGCCCCGACAAGCCCTTGTATTTAGAACTTAATTTAAGCAAAGTCATGCCAAGGTTCATAAATCATGTTTTTAAAATTGGCCTAAGCTACCATAAAAAATAGGGAATTGCAATGTTGGTAAGGAGATAGAGGCATTGAAACTGTGTGTATAATTGATGGGATTATAAAATGGTGCAGCCAGTATGAAAAACAGTATGGAGGTTTCTTCGAAGTTAAAAATAGAACTATCAAGTGATCCAGTAATCCTAACAGGGATTATATTTAGAAGAATTAAAAACAGAGCCTCAGAAAGGTATTTGTAACAAAAGATGAAAGCAATCTAAAAATCCACTGTTGGATGAATAGATTTTTTTAAGAAGGGGTATATATATATTGTATATATATATATATAATTTTTCAGTCTAGAAAAGAAAGAAAACATGGAAGAACCATGAGGACATTTTGCTAAGTGAAATAGACTAGTCACAAAAAGGCAGATACTCTGCAACTGCACTTAGGAGATATCTGAAGTAGTCAGGTTCACAGAAACCAAAAGGTGAATGTCAAAGGTGAAGCCAAAGGCAAGAGGAGAGTTGCTTGATGGAAAACAAAGTAATAGTTGCAAGATAAAAACTTTCTGGAAATAGGTACGCTATTTATCATTTATCATTTCTAGAAATGATAGTGTAAATTACTGAACTATACACTTAAACATGATTAAGATGTTAAATTTTGTATCACTTTTTTAAAATCGTAATTTAGAAACAGTATACTTTAAAGAAAAAAAAAAGAGCCATGTTCTCACCACAGAGCTGGGACCCCACTGATACTTTAACTTCTGCACTCTGGTTGTAAGTTTTTCTATCTAATTTTATTTAGAAACCTTTTTCCTTTAGAACATTGATTCCTTTTTCCTTTTTTTTTTTTAAAGATTTATTTTATTTTTATTGGAAAGGCAGATATACAGAGAGGAGAGACAGAGAGGAAGATCTTCCGTCCGATGATTCACTCCTCAAGTGAGCGCAACGGACGGTACTGTGCTGATCCAAAGCCAGGAGCCTCTTCCAGGTCTCCCACACGGGTGCAGGGTCCCAAAGCCTTGGGCCGTCCTCGACTGCTTTCCCAGGTCACAGGCAGGGAGCTGGATGGGAAGCGGGGCTGCCGGGATTAGAACCTGTGCCCATATGGGATCCCGGACGTGCAAGGCGAGGACCTTAACCACTGCACCATCGCACCGGACCCTCCTTTTTCCTTTAAAAAATAATTTATTGGATACTTGACAGACACAGAAATTCATGTAACTCATAAATTTTCACCAAGTTCAGTGACTTTTCACAAAGTGGACACACATGTATAAACAACACCTGCCTCAAGAAACAGAACATCAACAAGAACCCAGAAGTTTCCTGACTCCCCTTCACCCCTCAGACCACATCAGGATCAACCAGTATTCTGGCTTTTATTCCCCACACGGATGAGTTATGCAAGAACTGTTTGATCTGGGTCATCATTTCTCATTCTCTTTGTAGCAACATCCTGGTGACCATTTAATAGAGCAAGGGGCAGCAGACTACAGCCTATGAACCAAATGTAGCCTGCCGCCTGATTTAATAAAGTTTTGTTGGAACACAGACACACTCATTTGTTGACGCGTTGTCTGTGGCTGCTTTTGTGTTCCACGTAAGAGTTGAATAGTTGCTAACGAGGCTTATGAGACCTACAAACACTGAACATTTGCTATCTAAATAGATCTCAATTGATTGATCAACTGTCCTGAAAACTACTGGGAAAAGCTGTTTGTGCTCTTCTGTGTAAACCACATAGATTGAAAGCCCTAATCCCATTGGTGGCTAACTATTGATCCTCATTCTGTGCTTGAGACTGAAGTTTGAGGCAACGGTAGCTAGGGAAACTGAGCTGATGCGAGAGCCACCATTCACAACCAGTGCAGGGGACAGTGCCAACCAATCTTGTCATATGGCATCATTTGCTATTCCTTATAGCTGATTCTCTCTGCTCACCCTAAGCATGAATGTGTCCTGGGGAATGGGCAGGAAAGAGGAACCCCTGATCCACAATGGAACCCTTGTGTTTTTATGAGCTCCAACTATGCAGCCCCAATGAGTAACAGGGCCAGGGAGCTGGGGTTGGAGTTGAGGTGCATACCATTGGGGTTCTGCCTGCAGGTCAACTAGCCCTCAGTTGCCTTGCAGGAATTCTGTCGCTCTGCTGCTATGGCAGTGAAGCTGCAGCTTTGCCAACAGCTGCGCAGGCATATTTTCCACATTACTCAAGCTTCTGCAAGTGGCCACCTGGATGTGATAGACAGTCAAACCTAAACTGAACGAACAGTTATCAGTCATTTAGGATTCATTTCCAGGAAGTGAGCAATTATCCATGGCATGGTTTCTGATACTATGAGAAACTAAGGGGTTTCATGCACCTGCTTTTGAATATTTCGGTCCAGAATATAGAGGAGCAGTGCTGATAATATTCCCTTAAAGTGCTCTGTGCATGGCTGCTTATTTTGTCCTATTTGTGTTAACAATGCACTTGAGTGAAGCTAATGAGAAGGTTATTTTAGGGCCTTGGAAGCCACAGTAAAGGAAAATGACAGTTCCCACAGAACCATAGTGTGACTGAAATAGAAAGGTGGTGACTGGCCTCTCTCTATAGAAGCAGGAAAAGCAGGCGGAAGAGCACTGATGATCCGTGTGGAGGCATTTGATTTGCTTATTAGGATGACCAGTCTCTTTGAGCAAGTGTGTTGGCTGCTGTGGGGACACAGAACAAAGGATTCCAGTTCAAACTGGTTCAGAGATGTGGGGGTCTCTGCTGGATCCCTTGTGCATACACCCCCCCCCCCCCACCAATCGCACTAGTCAGTGCAATGGACTTCATGTGGTCCAGCAACTGCTGCTGGAAGAGACACGCATCACAAGGTGACCGTCTGATCACTCGCACTACAAGGTCATGCAGAGCAATAACCAAGGTTGCCTGGGACACTGCAAAGAATGAAGCTTTTGTTCTGGGGAACTGTGTTGAGCACAGGGCATCACACTGACAGCCACCCAGTGCAGCTTCTGCGAGGGATCGTGGACCTGCCAGGCTGCGGAAGCCCTGCGTGAGGCTTCTGTTTAGATCTTCCTTGTCTCTGAGGAATGTGGGTCAAGGTGAACAGAGATTCTTGACAAACTATTCCCAAACTTGGTATGAACCGGAAGGATTCCCTGGTCTGGCTTTTCCGTGTGGGCCCCCAAGAACTTGTTTTCTCTCAGCAAAGACTCATGTTTTGGAAAACCCCAGTTTTCTCACACCACAAAACATGCTGAATGCAGATAAGCATTCAGGAATGGACCGCTCTTTATTGATCTTATCTCACATTATGTTAATACCACTGGGAGGAAATACTGGTTGTTCTCCCCTGCTGGCCAACTCTCGGGAACATTACTTTTGGTCTCTGCATGGGTTAAATTCTCCTGCCACTCCTAGCTGCCGTTTCTCACCTATTTCCTCAGCCGGTGCTGAGCTGGAACATCAGGAAACACCCTCCACAGTCTGAAAATAAGGATGTTTGAAATCACAAATCGTTGTCCTTGCTGCCAGAAGGTTGACATTTCATTTCTGGGATTAAAATGTGTAGCATCCAGGCTCTCATTAGCAATATTTCTTCCTAATAGATTGCCCAGATTAATGATTTTTAATTCCACATTTCCTTTTCATAACTTCTTTTCAATTTTATTATGGCTCATATTTCTTTTAAAAGCAAGTTAACTCAGAGAAATGAGAAGGATACATTTGGCAGTTTTTTATTTAACATGATTATATTTTATAATTTCCTAAAAACATCTCCAGTGTGTTACATCTCGACTGGCCATTTAGCAAATGTAATGGGTTTTTTAAACTTAATAATAAAAGCAACTTCTATTTTTACTTTAAAATATCCTTTAAATACCTACCTACCTAAGGTAACTTCTTTATCAAGGAAACCAGTAAGAAGAGTTTCACTATGCCTCATGTTGTAAATGCCTTAATTTGAAAGATTTTGGGTTTGTTTGTTTGTTTGTTTGTTTGTTTGTTTCTACATTTTATTATTATTGCAATTCAGTATTCCCTTATCCCCTCCCCAATTCCCTCCCCCCACCACCTAGTTCCTCTATATTATTACTAACATATAGTTCTTCATAAAAGTCATATGTCCATCATTGCGGGAGTCCAGAATCCTACTGTCAAGATATAGTAAACAGTTTCATTATAAGTCCATCTTTGTCTGGAAGCAGAAATGCATACCACACTGCATCCTCACATCTGGATATTAGTTTCCATTTCACAGCTACTGTACATCCCCTTAAATGAAAAGTCATGATATAAAATCAACAATAGAAACAAAAATAGAAATTTACAATGCCATGAAGTTAAATGACATGATACTAGATATGACAGTCTCCATTACACAGCTTCTATACATCCCCTTAAATG